TGGATAATACAGAATGTTGGATGAGCGAAGGTTGGATAAGTGAGACAACTGTAACTTCAAACTGCATTAAATAGTCTGTGTAGATGGGACCTCAGAGAGACAGTCACACAGGATCCTTGTGGGGAGCTGTTGCAGTATTGAAGCAGAGCTGGTGCCATGGCATCTCACCATCTGGCATTAAACTTGTGTCTATAGGGTGAGATGCCACAGAGTTTCCCTCATGGCCCCCCTCAACCACCCAAAGTCAGGCTGTGTTGCTTACTACCCGAGGAGAGCCTTTATATAACCCCTGGGTCCACAACAATGAGGCGGTGATATTGAAGGTTTGGTTTAGCAATTTGCCCAAGGTCACCCAGTGGATTTTCATGGGGAAGCAGGGATGTGAACCTTGGTCTCCAGAGTCGTAGTTCAAAGCTAAAACCTCTTTCCCACAGCACTTTAAATTGTCCTTTTCCTGGCAAAACAAAACACAGAGCAAATTCTCTATATTGGAAACTGACAGGAATAGTGATTTGCTTTTTGAATAGTTTGTAGACCCTTGAAGAGAGCCTTTCCACAACCTCCAGAGTCCACAGTGAGGAGAAGGCTTGGTTTAGGGCAACTGAAATAACATTTCTGAAGATCTGCTATATATTTTATGTATTGGCATATCTTTGTTCCAAAAAGTTCAAAGAGAAAACCAGGTATATCAGTCTAACATCTGAGAAACCTAAATTGCCTTGCATGAATACTAGTGGATATTATTTAGCACTAAGGAGAAGATTCACTCAAGTAAGTTTTAAACTCTTCTCAGCAAAATCATGCTTTACAAAAAGGTTATGGTTATTCCAAATAGTGTGAATGTCAATTGATGTCCAAAAAGGGTCATGCTTCCAAATGGCTATGAAGATTCTGGTTTTCCAAAAGGTTATGATCTCCAAAAAGGTCATGCTTTCCAAAAGCTACAACTAAACCTGTCAGGATGGTGGGGAAATAAATCCATTTATTTGTCCTGGATTATGAGGCCATCTGGAAGGACACTGAAATGAACCCCTAAAAATGACTACTCCTCAAGAGAAATGTTTTAAATGGTAAAGAGACTTTATACCAGTGTTTCTCAACCTGGGGGTCGGGACCCCTGCGAGGGTTGCAAGGGGTGTCAGAGGGGTTGCCAAAGGCCATCAGAAAACAGTATTTTCTGTTGGTCATTGGGGTTCTTTGTGGAAAGTTTGGCTTAATTTTGTTGTTTGTGTTTTCAGAATGCTCTTTGATTGTAGGTGAACTATAAATCCCAGCAACTACAACTCCCAAATGTCAAGGTCTATTTTCCTCAAACTCCACCAGTGTTCACATTTGGGCATATTGAGTATCCGTGCACAAGTTCCAACTAATCATCTGAGCAACAGTGTTATGTCTCTGCTTGTAGTCTGTCTGCTCGATCTTCTTGTAGCAGCTGAGGATGTGATCTATTGTTTCATCTGCTTCTTTGCAGAATCTACATTTGGGATCTGTTGTCAACTTTTCAATTCTGGCTTTGATGGCATTGGTTCGAATGGCTTGTTCTTGGGCTGCCAGAATCAGGCCCTCCCGTCTCCTTTTTCAAAGTCCCATTTGTGAGCCACAGCCATGTTTTTTCTTTGTCAATTTTTCTCAGTTTTTCCCAGGAACTGTCCATGGAGAGCCTTCTTTGGCCAGTTTTCTCTCCTGCTCTGGATTATTATTATTGTTATTATTATTATTATTATTATTATTATTATTTGAAACACAACAAGGTGAGTCTATAGCAGAGGGGTGAGCAAACTGAAGTTGAATCCAGACAAGACAGAGGTCCTCCTGGTCAGTCGAAGGCCGAACAGGGCATAGGGTTACAGCCTGTGTTGGATGGGGTTACACTCCCCCTGAAGACGCAGGTTCGCAGCTTGGGAGTGATCCTGGATATCACTGAGCCTGGAACCCCAGGTTTTGGCAGTGACCAGGGTAGCTTTTGCACAGTGAAAACTCATGCACCAGCTGCGCCCATACTTTGGAAAGTCTGATCTGGCCACTGTGGTCCACGCTCTGGTTACATCCCGAATAGATTACTGCAACGCACTCTACGTGGGGCTGCCTTTGAAGACGGTTCGGAAACTTCAGCTAGTTCAACAGGCAGCAGCCAGATTACTAACTGGGGCGGCATATAGGGAGCATACCACCCCCCTGCTATGCCAGCTCCACTGGCTCCCGGTCCATCTCCGAGCCAATTCAAAGTGCTGGTTTTGACCTACAAACCCTATACGGCTCTGGTCCGGCGTACCTGTCCGAATGCATCTCCCTCTACGTCCCACCTCGGAATCTGAGATCATCTGGGGAGGCCCTGCTCTCGACCCCACCTCTATGTCTGGCGGGGACAAGAGACAGGGCCTTCTCGGCTGTGGCCCCTGCCTATGGAACACACTCCCAAATGAGGTAAGATCTGCTCCCTCCCTCCTGGCTTTTAGAAAAAAAATCATGGTTTTGGGACCAGGCCTTCGAGCGGTAGAAGTAAATGTATGCAGCATTTCAGAAAGACAATGACTATAACAGCGATTTGACGAACGAGACTGTTTTATTGTTTTAATGATTGTTTTATTGCTTATGGATGTGTGGTTTTAATTTGATTTATGTTTAATTGTAGTGTATAATTGTAATTGCAATGGCATTGAATTTTGCCATTACTTATGTGTAAACTGTGCTGGTACGGCTGTACCAGGAGCTCCAACTTTATTTTCCTTCTGTTATCTGTTTTGCAGTTATAGGACAGGCCTCCTGTCCATCTTAGTTAAGCTTTGGTTCCACCCCTTGTTCTGGGCTCTGGGAGGGAAAGGAGCCATTTTGGGCAGTCTCACACAAGGTAGCTAAGCTATAGGACGTAGACCAGCTCGTCCCTTAGAAAAGCTTCTTTTCTCAAGAACATCCGGGGAAACAAATTCCAGGGAAAAGGTCCCAAGGCTCTGGCTGAGAGCTCACAGCCTCACAGCCTCACAGCAATCAGAGGGAAAACAGCCCTGAAGTTTTCAAATAATTCTCTGAGGGAGGACAGCATTACAGATCCACGGAACTCCATCTGAAATATCTACAAGCCTCGGCTGGTAGGTCTACTCGATACCCAGACGCATTTGGAATCGGTAGTAGGACCCACACTGATGAGGCATAGATAGTAAACAGCCTGGGAGAGGTTAAAAAAGCTGGGTTGCAGCTAAACATAAAAAAAAACCAAGATTATGGCAACAAGAATGATTGACAACTGGAAAATAGAGGGAGAAAATGTGGAGGCCGTGACAGACTTTGTATTTCTAGGTGCAAAGATTACTGCAGAGGCAGACTGTGGCCAGGAAATCAGAAGACGCTTACTTCTTGGGAGGAGAGCAATGTCCAGTCTCGATAAAATAGTAAAGAGTAGAGACATCACACTGGCAACAAAGATCCGCCTAGTCAAAGCCATGGTATTCCCTGTAGTAACCTACGGATGTGAGAGCTGGACCTTAGGGAAGGCTGAGCGAAGGAAGATCGATGCTTTTGAGCTGTGGTGTTGGAGGAAAGTGCTGAGTGCCTTGGACTGCGAAAAGATCCAACCAGTCCATCCTCCAGGAAATAAAGCGTGACTGCTCATTGGAGGGAAGGATACTAGAGACAAAGTTGAAGTACTTTGGCCACATCATGAGGAGACAGCAAAGCCTAGAGAAGACAATTATGCTGGGGAAGGTGGAAGGAAAAGGAAGAGGGGCCGACCAAGGGCAAGATGGATGGATGGCATCCTTGAAGTGACTGGACTGACCTTGAAGGAGCTGGGGGTGGTGACGGCCGACAGGGAGCTCTGGCGTGGGCTGGTCCATGAGGTCACGAATAGTCGGAGACGACTGAACGAATGAACAACAACAAATAAGCCAAGTCCATTGAGGACTAGACTAAGAAAGGCTTGAAGTGTTGTTTGAACCATTGAAGATTTGTTGTTTGTTCCATAATAAAGACTTTGTTGTATCATTAAAGACTCTAAAGACCATCACTTCAGAAAAATCCCCGAGAACCTCTCTTTGAGGCGCCCCTGGCTTCCCGCTGGGCTTAAAGTATACGTCCTATAGAAAAGACAATTGTTACAGGCCCAGCGCATGACAGAACATAAACTGCTTTGAGTCCCGCTCGGGGTGGGAAAAGCTGTACAGAAATACTGTAAATAATAAATATTAGGGCTGGGCAACCACGGAAAAATTTGTTTCTAAACTCGATTCGTTTTTAGGGGGGTTTTGCATTTCGTTATTTAAAAGAATTCCGAAATTTTCCTTAAAAAAAGTTCGATATTTACGAAATTTCGGAAATTATGAAACAATTTCGAAAGAATTGCGAATCGATTACGAATCGATTCGTTAATGGCGGCCGCGATTGCGCAATACGCTAAAAAAACTTCTGAAGCTTCCCTCTCCCTCTGTTGTTGACTGTTGGTGTGATAATTATATTTTTTTTCACTGAGAAAACAAACAGCAACCCTAAAACTTGCACCAGACATGCGGAAATAATAACGAAACATTTACGAATCAATAACGAATCAATAACGAAACAATTACAAAACGAATTGGAAAAATTTGTTTCGTTTTTTAGTTGCTCCTGAATGGTTCAATATCGCTTTGTTATAAAAAAAAACCGAATTTTTAACGAATTACGAAATTACGAAACGAAACCGCCCAGCCCTAATAAATATATATTATTATTATAACAAGGTCATGCCTTTCCAAAGAGAATTTCTCCCAAATCTCCTGACATTCTGACTGACATTGCAGCTGACACGCTCACTAACGTTTCACAACAGAGTGTGGAAAGCTCTGGTTTCAGTCCCTTGCCCAAGGTCACTCCCTCAGTGGCTTGTCAAGGGCAAGGAGGGAGGTGGAGCTGGTGCAAGGCCACCTCACCTTTTGACACTGGGTCTGCGCCCATGAGGCCACCCAAAGGCGGCAGCATTGCTTGAGACAAGCAAGCCTTTCCTCAGCTCCTGGTCCACAATAGTGGGCGAGAGGTGGAGAGCGAGGGCGCACCCCTCCCTTCGACCTGGCGAGGAGCTGTTCCCTTCCTCCTCCTCCTCCTTTTTCTGCCTGGCAGGGAAAGAGTCCTCCTCTTCCCTTGGCGAGCCGCCGCCCTCTTCTTTTGTCTCTCCCTCTCTCTCTCTCAGAGGCGGGGAAGAGGGCTGCGGGCGAAAGGTCCTCTGCTTTCCTGTCTCCATGGAGAAGAGACCTTCAGTATCAGCCAGGACCAGCTCTTGAGGTGTCCAGGAAGGGAAAGCTACACTGCGCCAAAAAGCCTGGCGCTTTGTAGGCTTTGTGAAGGAATCCTCAAAACCAGGGATCCAATCTCCCCCACGCCACGGATTTGGCGACTTGGAAGGCACATGTCCCCGTCCTTTGGAGGCTCGTCCATGACAAGGGATGGAAAGCCGGCTGAGGAAGATCATGGCATGTTTTAAGGCAAGGCTGCTGCTGCTGCTGCACATGTGACAAAAGAGGACGTTTGGGAGCCAGGGAAACCGACTTTGGGTAAGCTGATGCATGCTTTCCTACATCAATACAGTCTCAGGGCCCTTCCACACAGCCTTATATCCCAGAATATCAAGGCAGAAAATCCCACATTATTTGAGTGTGGATTCAGAGCCCATCCGCACAGCCCTATATCCCAGAATATCAAGCCAGGAAATCCCACATTATTTGAGTGTGGACTTTCTACATAGCCCTATATTCCAAAATATCAAGGTAGAAAATCCCACATTATCTGAGTGTGGACTCTGAGCCCATCCACACAGCCCTATATCCCAGAATATCAAGCCAGGAAATCCCACATTATTTGAGTGTGGACTTTCTACATAGCCCTATATTCCAAAATATCAAGGTAGAAAATCCCACATTATCTGAGTGTGGACTCTGAGCCCATCCACACAGCCCTATATCCCAGAATATCAAGGCAGGAAATCCCACATTATTTCAGAGCCTTTCTACACAGCTCTATATCCCAGAATATCAAGGCAGGAAATCCCACATTATTTGAGTGTGCACTCAGAGCCCTTCCACACAGCCCTATATCCCAGAATATCAAGGCAGGAAATCCCACTTTATCTGAGTGTGGACTCTGGGCCCTTCCGCACGGCCCTATATTCCAAAATATCAAGGCAGGAAATCCCAAATTATTTGAGTGTGGACTTTCTACATAGCCCTATATTCCAAAATATCAAGGAAGAAAATACCACATTATTTGAGTGTGGACTCAGGGCCCTTTCACACTGCCCTATATCCCCAAATATCAAGGCAGAAAATCCCACATTATTTGAGTGTGGATTCAGAGCCCATCCACACAGCCCTATATTTCAGAATATCAAGGCAGGAAATCCCACATTATCTGAGTGTGGACTCAGAGCCCTTCCACACAGCCCTATATCCCAGAATACCAAGGCAGGAAATCCCACATTATCTGAGTGTGGACTCTGGGCCCTTCCACACAGCCCTATATCCCAGAATATCAAGGCAGGAATTCCCACAATATCTGCATGACACATGCAGATAATGTGGGGTTTCCTGCCTTGATATTCTGGGATATAGGGCTGTGTGGAAAGGCCCCCAGACAGGCCCAATATCTCAAGATCTGATCCCAGGTTTTCTGCTTTAAACTGGATTATATGTGTCCACAATGCCAGATAATCTGGGATAAACAGAAAACCTGGCATCAAATCCTGAGGCCCCTTCCACCCAGCTGAACAAAATCCCACAATATCTACTTTGAACTGGAATACATGACAGTGTGGACTCAGATAATCCAGTTCAAAACTGATATTGTGGGATTGTCAGCCTTGATATTCTGTGTTATATGGTTGTGTGGAAGGCCCCTGGGACATAGGGGCAGTGTGGTAAGGCCCCCAGTTCCAAGCAGATATTGTGGGATTATCTGCCTTGATATTCTGGGTTATAGGGCTAGGTGGAAGGGCCCTCAGGCCCCTGCTACGGGCCGTTCTACAGGCTTTGAACTGGATTATCTGAGTCCACACTGCCATATATTTCAGTTCAAAGCTTATAATGTGGGATTTTATTCAGCTGTGTGGAAGGAGCCTACATTGCCATATAAAACTCAGATGATCTGCTTTGAGCTGGATTATATGGCAGTGTAGATGCATATAATCCAGTTCAAAGATAATGTGGTTTATCTGCTTTGATAATCTGGATTACATGGCAGCGTAGAAGGGACCTCAGGCAGGATCTACACTGCCATATAATCCAGTTCATCTTCCTCCCTCTCTCTCTCTCTCTCTCTCTCTGTGTGTGTGTGTGTGTGTGTGTATAATATCCATTTTATCCAGATTATATGCTTTGAGTTAGATTATATGGCAGTATAGACTCATATAATCCAGTTCAAAGCAGGTAATGTGGTTTATCCACCTTGATAATGTGGATTATATGACAGTGTAGAAGGGGTCCACACAGCTTTATTACCCAGAATATCAAGGCAGATAATTTATTTATTATTCATTTATTTACAGTATTTATACCCTGCCCTTCTCACCCAGAAGGGGACTCAGAGCGGCTTAATCAACAAAATCTGCTTTGAACTGGATTATCTGAGTGCATAGTGCCATATAATCCAATTCAATGTGAATTTTATACAGCTTTGTGGAAGGGGCCCCAGTTAACTGGCACACTTGGGATCTGGTAGCTGCTGAATGAAGGTATTTTCTGGTTGCTTGAGTGTCTTTATTAAAAAGAGGCCTTGTACACCATGCCATAAATTCTGTACTAACTAGATATTAATATTGAGATACAATAATTAAAAGCAAATAAACATAAACTTAACATGACACTGTTTACTGTGTTACAGTTTTCTTATTTGAAGTATTCACTGAATCAGTCCAACCCCCTGCCATGTGTTCAAAGCACTCTGGACAGAGCACTAGCCTACCTCTGTTTAAAAACCTCCAGATTATTTATTTCTTTGATTTTTTTCCTTGGGATTCTGGTTAACTGAGACTGCTGTACTAGCCGACCATTGTAATGATCCAAAACACCTGTATCATTTTCTGGACCCTTTAGCAATGTTAGGCAAGGGACAGTATTAGCATCTTTCTGGAGCCTGTTACATTTGATCGCACTCCTATAAATCCTGTCACTGTACACTATATCTGAAAAATTGAATTTTATCCACAAGAGTTAGGCCCCTTCTACACCACCATATAAAATCCAGATGATCTCCTATGATCTGGATTATATGGCAGTGTAGACTCAAATACTCCCGTTCAAAGCAGATAATCTGGATTCTATATGAGAATGTACATAGGGTCTTAGGACCCTTTCACACAGCAGCGTAACCCAGAATATCAAGGCAGAATAACCCACAATATTTGCTTTGAATTAGAATATCTGAGGCCCTTTTCACACGGTTGAATAAAATCCCACATTATCTGCTTTGAATTGGAATATATGGAAGTGTGGATTTAGAAGCAGATATTGTGGGATTTTTCTGCTGTGATATTCTGGGTTGTATAGCTGTGTGGAAGGGCGCTGAGTCCACACGGCCATATATCCCAGTTCAAAGCAGATAATGTGGGATTTTATTCCGCTGTGTGGAAGGAGGAGATATGATGGCCATGTATAAATATGTGAGAGGAAGCCACAGGGAGGAGGGAGCAAGCTTGTTTTCTGCTTCCTTGGAGACTAGGACGCAGAACAATGGCTTCAAATTACAAGAAAGGAGATTCCATCTGAACATTAGGAAGAACTTCCTGACTGTGAGAGCCGTTCAGCAGTGGAACTCTCTGCCCCGGAGTGTGGTGGAGGCTCCTTCTTTGGAAGCTCTTAAACAGAGGCTGGATGGCCATCTGTCAGGGGTGATTTGAATGCAATATTCCTGCTTCTTGGCAGGGGGTTGGACTGGATGGCCCATGAGGTCTCTTCCAACTCTTTGATTCTATGATTCTATGAAGGGACCATAGTCTTAAAAGTGCTGCTATTTATTTATTTATTTACATGCCACCCTTCTCACCCTGAAGGGGACTCAAGATATATATACATACAATACATTATATTATTAGCATAGTACAATATCAGTATTAAATATTACTATATTGTACTATACCATTATATTGTAATATTATTATTAGTAATATTACATGTAATATAAATATATAATTACAATATCATATTATTATAAGTAGTAGTATTATATTGCATTACATTATATGCTATGTTTCTTCCCCCCTCCCCACTTCTCTTCCCTTCGTCCTGACACACACAAAAAATGTGTTCACCTGCTATAAAAGTTTCCTCAGCTATTATATTTCCTAGAGCGGTGCCATTTGGATGAAAAGCTGCTGGTTGGTTCTGTGATGTGGAAATGAGCTGATCTGGAATAAAGAGCAACACTGCTTCCCCCTCCTTCCCCAGGCTGAAACTGTAATAGAAATGAAACCATCCCTGCAGTTATTGCCAGATGGCTCTTGTTGTTATAGAAATACTGTACTGTTCTTTCACTGTTCTTTCACAAGGAGGGCTCATTTCAAATCAGAGCAGTCTTTGGAAACAACATGATGGATGCCCTCGCCAAATTTTCAGAACAGTACAACACTATTAGTGTTGCTAGATTTTCAAAATAGCATTAAGAGAGAACTGATAATCATAGCATGCAAGATTGATAAGTAGCTATTGGTATATTTGTTGTCCACCTGAATTCCAAATCATAAAAATATTGATTTCAGTTCAGTTTTTTATTTAAAAAATAAAATTAACATACTATATACTTTAATAAATTGTATGGCAAAGATTTATATATTTATGAAGGGGCCATATAATAATAATAATAATAATAATAATAATAATAATAATAATAATAATAATAATAATCTTTATTTATACCCCACCACCATCTCCCCAAAGGAGACTCGGAGCAGCTAACTTGAGGCCAAGCCCAAAGATACTATACAGCAAAATAAAATACAAAATACGGAACAAAAAAAATTACATCAAAATAAAATACATACAGTAGGAAAATAAAATAAATTAAAATAACATAATGAAAAATGGGTGGGCCAAATGCACAAGATAAAATGATAAAACCCTGGATGAGGTAGGAGTAGAAAAAGTGTATTTGAGAGGAGCCCAAAAAGGACAAACAGTGGGGATATATGAGGATTTCTTCAAAGTGTATAAAAAGGGAAAGCTTTCCGACCCTCAAATAGAGGCCGTCCTTTATGATAGGAAACACCTGCTGCTCTTACAAGAGGCAGGCTTATCAGGCCATAAATAAGAAATGTTCCTCATAATAATAATAATAATTTTATTTATTAACCTTTAGGCCATATCACAATGCCAAACCAAACAACAAGACTTGATAAGACTTGATAGCACTCTATGTAACAAGTTAAATAAGACACTTATAACAATACAGGGTTTTTTTCATGTCAGGAGTGACTTGAGAAACTGCAATTCACTTCTGGTGTAGAGAATTAGTTATCTGCAAGGATGTTGCAGAATCCGGGATGCCTGGACGTTTGATGCCTTACCAT